CAGGTGTGCAAGAGAATCAAGATTAAGACGTTTCAGGCGCAACTGGTCCAAAACCCTAGAAGGCGTTCCCACTATAATATCTGGATGTTCTGCCAAGAGAGGTCTACAAAATGAGCCAAATAGCAATAAGAGCGAAAATTAAGCAGGCTTATCAATTCAGTGAATTACCTTAAAGCATCAACATCATCCGTCCGAGAGAGATCAAGAATGTTAATGTTTCTGGAGGCATATTTACAAAGCATTTTAATATCCTTGGTTATTTGGTTACACAGCTCTTTAGTTGGCGCCAATATCAAGGCTGACGTCTTCTGCTCAGTTTGGAACTAAAGAATGGTCAATTAGGGGTAAAATCAAACCATCTTGTTTTCAAGAATAGATTGGATAAGAGGGATGGAAAAAGCTCCCGTTTTGCCAGAACCAGTGCGTGCTTGAACGCACATACTTTTCTTCTCTAGAGCGAATGGAATAACTGCTTGCTGTATATCTGTTGGTCGGCCCCATTTTAAATCAGATATAGCCTGAAAAGATCAATTACACATAGATGACGTACCGACAACAAGCGTTGGTCTAAATTCATAAGATGGAAGTGATCGACAACAGACATGATCGTAAACGCGGAGTCAGGCAAGGGTGCCGAGAGAAAATGTTCGGGTAAAGTTGACTTTGGTCAATTGAAGCATTCAAACACTGCTTATAAAATTGCTTGAGTCTACATTTTCGTTGGTGTGAAACTAATTTTGTCACAATTTAATTTTAGTAATGTAGGATATTTTCCACATTATTTCGTGTTCCAATTTTATCTTTTTTGCGCTTTTTCTAATTTCCCTAAGAGCATTAAAATCTTGGCTTACTACCGTTCCCACATTTGATCTTTATACATTTAAAGCCTTATCATTTCGTTCTTATTCCTTTAAAGTTGTCCACTGTATCTCAAATCACAGCATAAATTCTGCTGGAATTGTTCCTCAATGATCTCGGTTGACTCTTTACATGTTAATTAACATTGACAGTCGTGATTGACCGTAATTGACCTAGTCGTAATTATATAATGATTGCAGTGACTTGCTTTTGTTTGGGACAGCAGAATAATATTATTATCTATCATTGAAGTAGCCTTTAATTTTTTCGAAGTTAAATTAGTTTATAATTTTATTTTATTTCTACGATGCAAGATATTGCATGCTTGTTTACCACTATGCTAGTAATTCATTTATCTCCATTCTATCCTAGTTATGCCCTACTTACGCATGTTAAGTACTAAGTGAAATCTACAAATTTCGAATAAAGATATGAATCTTCAACTGCTAACTAAATATATAATAGCGCTTAAAGAAAGAATTGAATATTAGTTAGGTAATATTCTCAAGTAGGAATATATCGATACTGCTCATGCATGCAAATCCAACCTTAACTGCAAAGAGAGTCATTGAAATGAAATAAATGTCGTTGTGGAATGCACGTTGTAGCTATTGTCGTGCCTAAGGAAGAAAACCCCGAGGGACGCCAGTTTATTGTATCTGAGGTGACAAGAATAGAAGTCAACAAATTAGGCATTAGCAATTTGTGGGAATTAATGACCAAGAACCAGATCTTATAAGTTATATCGATTACTCGAGGATAACTATGTGGTACAATAATTCCCAATAAAGGCATGCCAAAAGGAATGAATAAATCATAATGCCAATTAGAGAAAAAGAGAGATCAGAGAGTGGGGGATTGACCGATTAGCACTCATGCAGGTAAGTGCATATGTGTGGAAATGCAGTCATTATATGAGTCACTTGAGGAAGGACTCGTGTGTGTGATGTGACGTGACAAAGTCAAAAAAGCGGATCTTTCCCTAATAAATGCCATTTTGGGGACTACTCAGGACACCTATCTCCACTAAATCGTAAATGTCACCCAAAAATTGTGACCTTCGGAGTCATTTAAACTGTGCTGCGTTATTTACCTCTAGCCTACCAGAATTCAGCACACAGTTGTAGAGAACCCTTTCACCCCTTTTCCCTTAATCCCAGACTCAAAAAATCGAATGAAATATCTCTGTATGAAAGTTACCCAATCTCTAATAGCCTACCGAGGAAATTTGAGCGAAATTCCTGTAAATTGCTCTAGCAATTAAAAAATCAACGAGATCTTCATAAGATAGTGCTTTGAGAAGAATGCAATTTGGGCTCGTTGTGGATTAATTCTTATTTACAAATTTTCTACATCTTACGTAACGATTTTATTACATTTATTCGATCATAAATAATATTAATAGGATTTAGCGTTTCTCAGTGGTACTATTATTACTAATATGTGGTTAAAATAAAGATTTTAAAAAGGTGTCGAATGCTATATTTTGCAATTTCAAAATCGATTTTCTTCAACCACTAACCTAGTCTGCTATGATTGAGCAAATTAGGCAAAAATTCAAATCGTGTTCCAATAGATAACCTTTTAAAATGGTAATTGTTATCCCCATGAATTATTTCTACTATTGTCATTTTTCGTCATGACGTTTTTAATTCGACAAATAATGAAGTTAAGATCATAACATTTATTTACCTTAAAACGTAAATAGTTCGATTGAGATAGCTGAAAACTTTCCACCTTCCTTTGGACTCCCATTGAACTAGTCTGGGCTGCCAAATGCAATGAAAATATCGAAAACGTGAATTAAATTCAGATTTCATTTCGTATCTTCTCGTTCACGCAGCTTGTCCACTTATTATCCTATAGACTCGCTAGCCTGAATGTCTAAAATTAGCCAAAAAATCAAGAGAAAAAGGTAGAATTCAACGTTTTGGTGAGTGAACCTCCCATCACCGACTGCTGGTATGGTTTCATACTTCATAATTGATTAATTGGTCATTTTAAGCACAAGTGTTATTTATATAAGTTTTATACTTACACGGAGTGGGGTGCGCGATAGACTTACCTCCACGTGGTGCACCCTGGACAACGTATCTTCGTACGGCATAAAAGTCTATCACTCGGCATTTTGACTTCAATTTATTATGATTAGCTTGAAAAAGGCAATAAGAAAAATCGCCCTCGTCAGGGCGAATCACAACGTCTTCAGATCCTCCAGGGGAATGCTGGAGGAATGTCACCGGACAAAAGATCCAAGTACAGAAAATCCTACAAACCTATGTTGTAGACATTTTCACAATTATGGAAGCAAACATTTCGGATGACAAACTGAAGTACTACCAATTCCCAGGTTACACCCTGTACCTTCTACCTAAATACCGTCAAGTTGCAAGTGGAATCCTAACTGGAGTAAAAGAAGGCCTCACCTCACACTACGATCTAATCAAGAGTATGGGCTCGACACAAGACAAATGTGAAATAATCAGATTAAATGTTTGGAAATGTCAAAACCACTTCAAGGTATATGCAATCTATAATCCACCCCAGAATTGTCCCAACTTTGACTTTCTGAACATCTCACACAAAACTATAGTATTAGGAGAC